TAGTATGATATGAGTAGTGACTAACGGGTTAATGTAGAAAGCCCCTTAAGGTCCGTCTACAATGAGAGTAGTCGTAAATCGTAAGCCGTAAGAAATTAATTAACTATAATTGAGTATGAGAAGAATAATCGACCGTGATTGATCAATTTCTTACGGCTTACAACTTATTGTAGATGAACCTTTAAACATATAGCCTTTCTACAATAGCCGTAAAAGCCAATCATAGACCACGACCCGATTAACGTTCACGACACTCGTAAGCATAATTTGTCCTTACTTAATATTTGATAAACAATAAAGATGAAACGATTCATAAGCGTTGAGAGCATAAAGCAAGCCATAGTCATAATCAATTATTCTATTCGATTGGACAATTTTTTACGGTTTAGAACTTATTACATCATATTCTATTGTAGATGGCCTTTAAGATTTAAAAAATTGACCAATTATAGTTATTATTCTACTATAATTAGTTAATTTTTTAAATCTTAATTCTTGAAGTCTCATTGTAGATACTACTTTAATCAATTCTAATAAGCTGGAATATAAAAAATATTAAAGTTGTACACTTATAAAACCATGATTTGTTGATTATATAGCAGGAAGATATAAATTATATTATTTTTAAATATTTATTATTAGTAAGTAAATTTATCTTATCTATAAAGTAAAGTTACATAAAATAAATGTTTAATATATTTTAATAAATCTGATCAAAAATAAAAATAGCTGCAGTTTCCTAAAAAAGACAGTTATCGAAAAATATATGGTTGAAAATGTTGCTTTGGATGAAAATATAGCGAAATTCTTTAAAAATCTCACATTGTATAAAGTGATTATTGTTCATCATTGAAATTTAGTGTAGAATAAGTCTAAATAAAAATAAAATTGCTTTACTGTTTTCACGTTTCTCTTTGAATCTATCGGATATTTGTGAGTAACCGAAAGGAAGTAGAAAACGATGCAACCTATATAAAAGTCTTTCTTTTAATTATTCACAAAATATCCAATGAATTCAAAGTGAACCTAAAAATAATAAAGCATTTATTAGATATTTTTATTTAGACTTATATCCTACCAGAATTTCGATGGTGAACAATCCATTTTACATGATGTAAGGTTTTCCTCCAGAAAATCCTGATACATTTTCCAAATGATATATTGCTCAAGAAAACATTCAACCATACTTTTTGATAACTATCTTCTTTAGAAAATTGTACTAATTTATATTCCTGTTCAAATTAAAACATTTATTTTATGTAATTTTGATTAGATTTCAGGGAGAAATGATTACTTTATAAACGTCGAATCGATGATATAGATACCAATCATTTTTCTCTAGAATAAGATAAATTTACTTACTAATTATAAATATTAAAAAATAATATAATTTACATATTTTCTTATCAACTTATATACATATAATTAATAAGTCATAGTATTATACGAATACAGGCTTACAAATGTAACATTTATACTCTAACCTCTCAGAATTAATTAACAGTCATATAATAGTTGCCAAATCTCCTTATTTTTAGGTTTCTATACATAATCATATGTATAAAAAAAATTATCCAATCACATTTTACGTTCGTTCTCGTAATAGAAATGCGATTGTATACTTTTTTTGTATAAACATATGATTATGTAACAATTCAAGTATTTCAAATTCGTCTTTGAGAATAAGAAGTAGGCCCTTATTCTCGATAAATATCGCATATTACTGTAGTATGTTATATGTATTACAAATATTATAGATTCTTAAATTAGCAATGTGCAATGAGCGGGTTGAATAGGACATATATATAAATCGAATAAGATGTACATATATACATACAGATCTCATCAAATATTTTGCTTTTAATAATAACATATTTATTTTTAATTTATAAGACGTTTTTTATATATTTCAATCAATGTATATGCATATGAAGTTATAGTATAAGCGCAGTTTTATAACATTATATAAAATTACTTAGATTACAACTATTTTTATGCAGAAATTAAAAGACTTATTATTTAAAATAGATAGAAAAGTCCTTTATATAGTTTATATAAAGTTATAAATAGACTTAAGCGACATTCAGTAGCGACGGATTTTTTAGATATACAAAGTCAGTGTAACTTAAATTACATTTTCATATTGCAACAGTTTTTAAACTAAATATCACATTGCAACAGTTTTTAAATCGTAAATGTAGTTTAAGTTTTGTAAGAAGACAAATAAAAATTTTTTATAAAATTAATAGTATTAATAAAAAAAATAAAAAGAAAAAATACAAAAAAAATAAACAACACGGAAATTAGATGAACGCACACAAATCAGATGATATATAGATAAACAAAATGTACTTAGATTTCGAATGAAAATCTTAAAGCCTAAAATGCCATTATTTTTGCTTTTTTTGCATATTATGCAACCATGTTTTGATCTGCGGAGATGTACGACGACTAAGAACTTTACATTTATTCCTTACAGTTTGAATCTCTTTTAAAGACGGCAATGTTTGAATTTGCATATATTGTGCAAAAACTTTAAGTGCTGTTCTTTTTCTTCTTTGGTCCACCGTACACGCTTTGTTTTCCCATAAGGAGATGCTAGACAGAATAATACAAAAATATATGTATTAAAATAATAAACATTAAAATATCATAAAAATTAACATAAAATGTTTTATATTGATTCCATATTTGAATTTTTTTACATTTAACAGTATAGAATTTCAAATATAACATTTTATTGCACTTCTTTTAAACCTTTTGCCAAACTTATAATCAAAATCAAAATAAATATGTATAAAAAAATATACATTATAACGCAAATGGTAAATTAACAGAATAAAATTTAAAACAAATAATATTATACATATAATAATAAAGCAAAATTTTCAAAGTGCTCTTATAAGTAAGTGGGAATAAAAATAATTCAAAACATTAATTTTGACATTGTGAGAAAACAAGTAACTTATGCATTATACTTAAAAAATAGTTTTAATTTAAAGAATTTTAAATTAATTTTAAATTTTTAAATAATTAAAATTAAAATTTTATTTTACAAATTAATTTTTTTTCTTACAATTTTAAGAATGTAACTTTGTAATGACTTTTATTCTAATTTACTCATACATTGTTAGATCTATTATAATCAAAATTCTTATGTTAAATGTTTATATACAGTTAGTATATAATTTGTTTGAAACATGAAATACGTTTTTCTTACATTTTATTTTTAATTATGCAATACTATGGCCATTTTCTGATATACAGTACCAGTACTGAAAATCTATAATTCGCATTGTGTATACAAACAGATTTTCAATACTGGTATTATATGTATATCTAAATATAAAAAGGCCTGCACAAAAAAGGATAAAAAGCAAAGTGTCACTAAATGAAAAATTAACGCTTTTTCCCATCTTTCTTCTTCATCTACAATTTCCTAATAATTATTTTTAGAAAAAATTAAATTAATAGAAAAAATTTTGACATACCGTAAAAAAAAATTTTTAATGTTGGTGTTATAAAAAATTGAAAAGGAATAAGAAAAACTACTTACTACTTCGTTTCCGTTTTGTATTTTTATCTTTCTGATTTCGGCAATTTGTATGATTTGACGAATTATTTGATAATAGTGATATGTTTGAAATAATAATTTATTTTATAAGTTTCAAAGAAAATAAATTAAAATTAATTATATAAAATACCAAAAATATAAAAATGTTAATATTAAATTTCTTGTTAGTACTCTATGTTATTCTTTGTAAATATTTTTTTATATATTAATTTTGTGGCGGTCCGCTTACGGCACGCGCGCCTGGCCGCGCGCCGGGCCCGCGCGCCCGCCACGTGACGAGAGCGGTGCGCGACGCCACCGCTAGGTGCCGTAGGCGCCACGACAAATCTCGTAATTGAGATTCACCCACGCCCGCTATATCTAGGGCTCCGTGGGTGGTCTCCAGCGAGTTCTCCCTGCTCTCGGGATAGTGCGAGCTTCTCCAGGCCACTATTCCGAGAGTGTTTTGAGATACCTGTACCCTCTGACAGAGCGAGCTCGGCTCTTTGAGATCGAAATAGGGATGTTCGATTTCTCTAATAAAATCGATTCTTGAATCGATTTTGAATCAATTTTATTAGAATCGATTTACTAAAAAATCGGGCTAAAAAGATCGATCTATCGAAAATCGATTCAATTATAGAGTAATATTTTTATTGCATAAATATATTTGATAACAATTATTATTTATTTATAAGGTTTCTATTCATACATAAATTTAATATATAAAATTGTAATACATTTTTTCACATATTTTTCTTTAAATATAATAATTATTTAAAAACATTTTAATTTTTGAAAAATTTATTTTTATTCATGTAATTATCTTGTACATTATATTTTATTATTTTTATTACTTTATATATAATAACTAATTTAACATATTTTTAGATTATTTAAAATAAGAAAATACAATTAAAAAATTCTCAGATGAAATGTAAATTATTCATTTATTTTCCATTCTTTTAATGTCAACGAATTTAAAAACAATAAATGTTGTAAGTGTTCTGGTAATAATCTACTCCTGTTTTCCGTTAATATGTTTCCAGCTTTGGAAAATAATCTTTCTGATGGTACAGAAGTAGCCACAATTGATAAGTATTGTTTCGCAATTATTCTTAAAGATGGATATATTGATTTATTAATATAACCCAGTAATCCATCGGATCTTCATTCAACCCAATCGTAGGTTGATTAAGATAATGTTTTAGATCGGTTGGAATTTCGTCACTTTCATTATTAATATACTGAATGTTATTTGCAAGATCTTCATGAAATGACCATATATCATTCGAAAGACTTGCATTCTCTGTTGCGATTGTTGCTATATTTTCTTTTCTTGGTATATTGTTATTTAAAGTTTCCATTTTCTGAGCTATTTTGTTAATTGCCTGTGAGCAGACAATAGAATTGTTGAAATGCAATTTTTTGAATCGAGGATCCAGAATAGTTGATATGGCTAATATAGTAACTTGTTCTACTGCTCCAAATCGCATATTAATATTGGCACTAAGTGAATCAAGTAATTTTAGAGCCGTAGGAGAGATCAAATCAAAACTTAAATTATTTATTTTTTTCTTTAGGCAATTAATTAATGGTATTACTTTACTTCCTGTGGTATAGTGCTCACCACAAATCTCTTTTGTAGCTGCTTCAATTGGACTCATTACTTGCATTATGTCTTTAGCGAGTTGCAGTTCAGAAGCTGACAACATTGAAGGTGCTTTCGGAAATTTTAATAATGTTAAACTAATACTTTCGGATAGTTCAACAAATTGTTCCAGCATATAATATACAGAGTTCCATCGCGTCGGAACAGACTGAATCAATTTTTTTGTTTCATGTTTTCGTAGTTCATCTGCAGCAGAAACAGATTGTTTAAAAAATGTAATCAGTGTCTTTATTTTTTCACAGAAAGTTTCAATTTTATTATCTTTCAATACGGCTGTAGCAACCAAATTCAATGTGTGGGCAAAACAAGGCAAATGTTTATTCTTTCCAAATACATCATTAATTGCTTTCGTAATGTTCGCTGCATTATCTGTTACGATAGCTGTAATATTATCCTTTTTGATATGCCATTCAGTACATATTTGTGATAACCATTGTCCGAGGTAATCTGAAGTATGTCTTTCATTCAATTCAGTAACGCCAATAACTACAGAGTTTAGTTTTCCATTTGAAGCAAAATGTACTGTTAATTCCAAATAACTTCTGGTATTAAGAGTATCCGTCCACACATCTGTTGTTAGACATACATGCTCAATAACAGATAACTTAACTTTCATTATATTTGAAAGCAATTCATATTTCTCTTCCATTAAAATTGTTATCTTTTTTCTTCCGGGAACTTTGTATAACGGTACAGTCATTTTCATAAGATATTGGAAACCTTCTTTCTCAACTGTATTAAAAGGCAAATTATTTTTAGCGATCATGAAAAGAATTCCATTTGTTATTTGCCCATGTTTCACACCTCCACCTAAAAAAGAAATAAACACAAAATTTCAGAATTTATTAAAAGTAAATTAATGTTATTAAAAGGTTTAATTAAAAATGTTATTTACCTTCGTAGGCTCTCATGTTCATTATTGTTTTATCTATTAATGGTTGATTATGTTTTATGTTTGTTTTTATTATTTCGCTTTTATTTGTAGATACTGTTGAGAGTGTTGAGAATGTTGAAGTTGAAGATGATGCTGACTCTATGTCTGTTATTAATATAGATTCATCTTCACATTCGTTAGTATTGTTCTAAAATTAAAAATATATATGTATATAATGTATTAATTAATAAATACACTTACAAATACATGCTAAAAGGTTATTCTATATATTATCATAAAATATAATATTACGTGTTCACTTTGCAGCCTCTGTTTTTTTATAACATCCAATTCATTTACTTCACTTAATGTTTTCTCATGTTTTCTTTTTAAATGATTTCTTAAATTTGTGGTATTTCCACCAGTTCTTACATCTGTTTGACATATTTTACATGTACCACCCATTTCCGTTCGAATAAAGTACTTCCACACATTACTTTTGCATTTAGATGACACTAATAATAAAATACAAATATTTACATAATAAATGAATATAATCACATTAATAGCAAATTAATTATCAACATTCAGGCTACTCAGCATAAAATCAACTACTACAAAATGGCTGTAATATAAAGTGCTTTATAAACAGCAATTATTAATGTTTAAAATGATTGCTGTTTACTTTGAAATCTTAAAAAGCATTATTAGTATTTTATAAAGCGCTTTGTATTTTTTAATACATCCATTATTATTTATTATTAATTATACATATGCTTAATTAAAAATATAATCTTTTGCTTACTTATTTCTTTTATAATTTATTTTTCTGTTAATAAGAAATAAATATAGGATAACATTAAACTTTTTAATTGGAGCAAAACTCATATAAATATATTTTGTTCATATATATCTGCCACCTTACTAAACCAATAAGCTGTCTCTCCTGTTCAAGAAGAAATGATGAAATAGAAAATACACACATTTATAATATATAATTTATTCATAATTTTTGACGCATTAAAATGTTCAAAAAGTAAGACACAAATTAGAATTATAAATAAAGAAATTTATATTTTTTAACATATTTCTTGTTTTTATTAATGTTTTATAATAAAGTCTAAATTGTCAATCAAACCTGCTAAGTAACACATAAGAATTTAAATTTATTATTTTATATTACTAAAATAGTATTATTTTATGGTTCTTAATTGTAATTTGTGTAAAATACTAACATTACAATTACAACACATAGCCATGCATTTATAAAGTAAGATATACATACCTTATAATTAATTAATGAACTGAGAAATCTTAATCTTTGTAAAGAATATTCTTATAAGTTTTTTTAGGTTCATTCGACGTATTTCTGCACGAAACAAAAGAATCTGGCAGAAATAATTAAGTGTCACTCTGCTTCGTAACGCGAGATATATTAATCGTTGAAGATATTAATCGTTAACAGGTTAGAAACACGTTTAAGTTTAGGTTAGAAACACATTTATCACACGATACGACGTGATACTGAGACCCGATCAAATTTCGACCCAAATATTCCTCAGGTGTCAATTTTTTTTTGTTTAACATTCGTGATTCGGAACAAGGATAAAATGATAAGTAGTACTTGGACACTTGGGTGGGAATCTGAAGTCTGAACGCTCCCCTGTGAGTTACGATCACTACGCATTGCAGATAGTAGATACGGATTGGATTGGAATTAATGGAATTGCGGATCGCGGATCGCGATTTCAGTCAATCACGGCGAGGCATATTCAAAACTACCTCGTCGTCATTGTTATTGGCTACCGATCCGCAATACGTAGTGTAACACGGGCTTAACTTTGCGTATAACAATACCATCGTTTTATTTATTAACACGTATGTTGAATTTAAATTTCGTGCTTTTTACTGTACTACTGTAGTGAAAAGTAACCAGACGCATGCGTAACGACTTTAGTGAGAAATGAGAATTAATTCGGCGATGTCAATTCGTAGTGCGCAGGTTCCAAACGTGGAAGAACGCAGACTCGGAATGGACCATGTCACCAGTGTCACTACACGCTAGTTACGCATAGAGTCCTAGATTATCAGAGAAGCACGACCGGTGTTACGAGTCCTGATTGGACTCGCAAATGGCCAATCATAAGATTGATTTATGGGATATTATAAATGTCTGCCGAATAAATCAATCTTAT